TCCTTCGGGAGGCCCCCAGATTTGGTTCTAAGACTTTTGGCAGATGAATTAGTAGAACACAACGGAGTCCTGAGGCTCCGTGGAAACCGTGTCAATGGGAGTGCCTGGGAAACAGGCGATGGATAAAGAGCTCAGCGTCCCTCGGGCGGTTTCATTAAAGAGGGAAAACAATCACAGCACATCCGGTGCAATTTACATGCCAGGTGTGCAGCTGTCACCAGGTGCCAGGGAAACTGACAAGGGTCCCTTCCCACAACACACGGGCTGAGAGGGACGCACGGGGGTGACCAGGAAGTCTTAGATAATGACAGGTCCTGGCAGATGTACCGGGGACCCCGCTGGAGGGAAGTGCAGCGTCTGAGTCTTCTGCACAGGTGCTGTGACAGGGAAGGCCTCCCAGCGGCTCTAACACCAGCAATTACAGCGGCCTGATGCGGAGCGCTGCAGGGCAGAAATCTGGGGAAAGCTGCCCGGCTCTGACTTAATGAATCAAGTCTGTGTAAACAAACAGCGTTCCCGGGCTCATGCCTGATTCATGAAGGACACACTGCGTGCTTGCGCTCAACGTGGTAAGTAGCTAGTTGCTCCCCTTAAAACCATGTCATTTTCATTTCTTCAGTGGTTTGTTGCTGCTGTTTCCAACCATGGAAAATGGAAAAGTCATCTCTCAACAAATGTGCAGGATGAACAATGGGAAACAGCCTGGAATAAGATTCGACTTTTTCCCGAAGGGCATGTGACCTTTTGTCAACATCCCCAAATCACATCAGACATTTCAAGGACAGATGCCATTAAGTGCATTACTAATTGAAGACAGGTTGGTCCAAGAGGCTGATGGTAACAGGGGAGGACTCTCCAGAGCTTGCCACATCCCCACAAACCCGGTAAGGATTGCAAGGATTTTTTGTTTTAGTAGGCTTACCAGACCTAAAATTACTGAATTTCTGTGAGCCTGTGGGCTTCCATTTATGGCTGAACTTGAACCCTGACTCCCCTCTTCTGCTGCACACTGTTAGCTGAAGTGTCCACAGCTATTTGTCAGAAAGAATAGTTTCCATCAAAAATATCAACAGTGGCCACCCTGTATGGGATGGGTCCAAGTGCCTGATGGAAGGCACAGAGATCACCACTGCCTGGCCTTTTTATTTGCTATTATTCCAAGGCAGGTAACTCGGAATGAAACTTGCATTCCAGCAAAAGGTGCCATGTCCAACAGACAGTGGGCTTTGGTGTTTGAAGCTTTTTCACTATAGTAATTTTATAGCGCAATCTCCCTTTGACCTGTTAGCCAAAGACCATGCTGTCCTGATTTTTCCTTAAAGGAAGAGCGTTTATCATATGAAAACAGCTCACCTCTAGTTGAGACAGGCTGGGACCTGGGACCCTTTGTTGCAGTGCTTGCACCTGGACACACGTCTCTTCAAGCAACAAAATACAAAAAAACTATAGGGGACTAAAAATAACTGCGTGCATGTACAGTTGGGGCAAATTCTGGACAGAAGATACAGAAAGACCCAAAACACTCAACTGCCACTTCTGAAGAGCCAGGAGCAAAAACAGGGCACATGCCCCCTGCACACAGCACCACCAAAGGGGTGGGCAAATCCCCTAAGCCACGCCTCCGGCCCGACCCCTGGACACACCCCTACCCTCACCCCATACAAGGAACCAGCTTGCCCTGCCTCAGGAATAAGCAAGGGAACCTGTTGCTTGTTTTCGCTTCCCCCTGCTGCGACACAGGCCCCAATAAAGCCTGGCCTGAATTTCTTGTCTGGCCTCTTATCAATTTCTATTGATTAAGGAGGCCAAGAACCCTGGCTGGTAACACAGTCACTGAGTCCTGAGAGAGCACACTTTGGAATTTCAAATAAGCAAAAAATACACGTGTGCCTTTATTTTAAAAAAATCCAGTAGTAGTTGTTATTTTTAATAATTATCTACTTTTCAAAATAATTTTTCTTGGGATTATTTTAAGTGAGCTCCGATGCAAAGATGTAAAACCTGGTAAATAACTTTCAAGGAATACAGTTATTGAGAAAGCAAAGCTGTGCAAAGCCGTCTCCACATCTCTCTTGCTCCTTATCATACTAGGGGCAGTCAACAAGTATTTGTGAGGCGAGTGAAGGTTCAGGATGAATCACACATTTCAGGGGAAGAAACAGATAAAATATTTAGCTTAGCTGTCTCACAGTTAACCTAGCAGATGCTAACTACTCTGTAACACTAAGAGGGAAGAATTCACATTCATTCACTTTGTTGGGCATTTCCTGAGTGCCAGGAGAGAGAGACCAAAAATTTGTAAGGTTGTCTCCTCCCTGAAAGGAGCTTGCTTTCTGGTGCAGTTGAATTTTTTTTTTTTTTTTCTCCAGTGGTCATTACTGCTTTCATAGCAAAATACTGATTTGGGGTGAAAAAAGGTAATTTATAGATACCACTGTAGGTCTTAGCTTTGCTGGAGAAAATGTAAGGGTTACATTAATATCTATGTTTACGTAGTCCTCAGAATGGGGTGGGAACTTCTCTAACCACCCGACACGTAGAAACTCATTTAATCTTTACAAGATCCCTATGAAGCAAGTGCTATGACATCTCCACCGCCCACGTGAGGGGTTAGTGGTGGGGAGCTCAGCGACTCCCCCCCAGCCCCACTTTCAGCCAGCTCCCCTGCTCTTGATGTCTCCCAGAAGACAGGGAATTGAGAGACGGAAATGGTTTTTACACTGTTAGTATGTAAACTAGTGCTTTGTAAGCTTTTCTACTTTACATAAGGGGCCCATAGCTTCTCCCCACTTGTCTTGTCACTTTACTAATATCCTTTATTCTACAGAAAATTTTACATTTTAATAGTCAATTTTCCCCATCCTTTTCTTAACGTGTTGAGCTTTTGGTATATTTGAAACACTCTTAAAACAAAGGCCATAAATATTTCCCCCCATATTTCCTTCTAAAAGTTTTAAAGTGTTTAAAACTTTTGGTCTTTATTTAGTATTCATTTATGGGCTTTTTTTTTTAGTCCACATGAATAATCAAATGTCCCAGTTCAATTGATGGAAAAGCTCATGCTTTTCCCACTAATCACACATTTTCCCACAAATGCCTACATCAACATCTGGGCTCTCTTTTTTGATCTGTTGGTGTATTCATTTCTTCCTAATTTGTGGTATCTATAATTTTCCCTTTTGCTATGTCCTTTTCTGGTTTTGATATCAAGGTTATACTAGCCTCTTAAAATAAAATGGAGCAGTAGTCTTTCTTTTTCTCTTCTCAGAATAATTTTTATAAGATTTGAATTACCTATTCCTTGACTATTTATTTAGCAGAATATACCTATAATACGTTTGGGACTAGTGCTTTTCCATGGGTCACTTTTTTTTTTTTTTTTTTTTTTTGCGGTACGCGGGCCTCTCACTGTCGTGGCCCCTCCTGTTGCGGAGCACAGGCTCCGGACGCGCAGGCTCAGCAGCCATGGCTCACGGGCCCAGCCGCTCTGCAGCATGCAGAATCCTCCCGGACCGGGGCACGAACCTGTGTCCCCTGCATCGGCAGGCGGACTCTCAACCACTGCGCCACCAGGGAAGCCCCCCTCCCACTTCTTAATGTCTCTCTTCTTCCCGGTTTGTGCTTCCTGTTACCTTCTGAAAATCCATTTTTTTAAACAGATGTATTGAAGAAGTATAAGTGATGTACAAAAAACCTCATGTGCACAATTTGATGGGTTTTGACACATGCAGATATCCTTGGTACCATCACTACAACCAAGGTTATAGACAATATCCACCACCTCCTGTGGTTTCCTGTGTGCCTTTGTTCTTGGTGCATGCCCGTGTGTGTGTGTGTGTGTGTGTGTGTGTGTGTGTGTGTGTGTGTATTAAGAGCACTTATCGTGAGGTCTACCCTCTTAACAAATCAAGTACGCGAGGCCTATTGTTGACTACAAGTACACTTTGTACAGCAGATCTCTAGAACTTGTTCATCTGGCATAACTGAAACCTCATACCCACTGAACATCACCCCCCACCTCTCCCTCCCTGCAGTCCTTGGCAACCACTCTTGTACTTCCTGCTTCTAAGATTCGACTATCCTCCATCGTTCCTTTGAGTGGAATTGCGCAGTCTCTGTCCTTCTGCGACTGGCTTATTTCACCTGGCGTGATGTCCTCCAGGTGCATCTGTGTTGTAAATGGCAGGATTTCCTTTCTTTTCAAGGCCGGCAGCTAATCTTAAGAAACAACCCCTTTATGGTTTCTGCCCCGATATCTCAATTCAAGGCTAATCTCTAGGCTGAGGGTAGATCTCACAATGTCAACCTCTCTAAGAAGTAACGGGTCCTCCAGCAGAACCACAGAATTGGGCCCACTGTTCAACAAAGCAGCTGCACCCTGTGTATCTTCTCGTTTTAAAATTTCCCTTTGGAAAGAATCCTTCGCGTCCCATGACCGAGATCTTAATTCCTTAAGAAATTCCTGGTTAAATAAAAATAGCTCCTCCGTAGTCAATACAGATGAAGTAACCCAAGACCTTGGGGTGGCGGGGGGTGGGTGGGGGGGGGGGGGGGTCGGAGTGTGGTCTCCACTTTACAGGTCAGGAAAGGGAGGAAAGGAAAATCTAAGCGAGAGGAGATGCTGGATTTCTAAGCCCAGGATTGACTCCAGGCCTGCTGGCTGTTCTCAGAGTGGATTTCCCAGAGGTGGGGAATGCAGTCCTGTCTCCTGGGGCCTCCCGTTGTGTTCTGACACCCAACAACCAGCATGCACGCTTTGCCGTGATTTTGTGTTGTTGTGCGCTCAATATAGCCGGATAACAACTGCTTTTAAATCTTGAGTGCCTTTTCTGTCTGTTGCTATCACAACAAATGAAAGCAATTCAGTCTATGTTTACTGATAATTTATAAGCAAGCGAGAGGAGGAGCCGTGGTAGTTGATATTTTTGGAAGGACACACACTGCTTCCAGAGCTGGCTAAGCAAGGAACAAATGACCAGGAGGCGGAGAGGACCACTTACCCTCCCCACTTCCACCAGGTTGGTCACCATGATGATGCTCGCTGTGTTTTCATGCCACACCATCCTCCAGAAGTCATAGATGGTCTCTTGCATTGGTCCTGCAGCAAAACACAGCAGAGACTTTTGTTTTCTTTGTGAGTTTGCAACTGGAAAATTTCTGGGGCTTGCAAAGAAATCTATGGACGGCCACAGGCAGTCCCCTTACTTTTCTAGGTGGACAGAGCTCTCCTTCTAGTGTTGATGCGAGAGGGTATTCTTTCTGAAACGACACCCTTAGAAATACTGAATTTTTCACTCATGGTTGAATTTTTTCGTGTCATCCACTGTATCTGCATATGAGCTCTTTTGCCCTTCTTAAACGACTGCCGTGAAAGAAAGTTATTTCTTCATCATTTAGCTATTTATCTCCATAATACTCAAGAGTGAAATTTAAAAAAAGAAATGGGTACCATTACTCTTCCTGCTAACGACTGGCAGATATCCCGGGAAACGGTATATAGAATGAAATGAGCATCTATAGGAAAAATGGCCTTTTCTTGTTTCTAATATTTTTCTTATTCTGTGCTATCTGTCAAATTAATCCTTTTTAAAATTTTCGCCAGACTCCTTCAAGCAAGAGAGGAGTTGGATTCAAGCAGTTGTACTTCCTGTCACTGAACGTGACCGGGATCTGCTGCCCCAGCTTTTGGGATCTTAGTATTCAAAAGCTCTTTTTATGGACTGGGAAAAAAAGAGGGAAAAAACGGGTTACAAAATGCCAGTGCTATAGATACTGTATAGGTATGGAAAACTGGAACTTAAACTTGCTTTTAATGCAGCTTTTTTAAAAACCCAGACTCGACTTCATGCCCATGCATGTTTGAGGGTCTACATGTAACAGCATAAATCTTTATACGACCAGCAGATATGTGAGGACAGGAGAGAAAGACAACTTCAAAGGCGTGGAGAGTCACGTTACACGGGGACTCAGACGAGCGTTTAGGGATGGGTCGGGACAGCTGTGCTGCTGTATCTGGACACTGCAGATCACTGGGTCTGGAGCTCAAACATGAGAATTTGAGATCTGCCTCTGGCTCTGAACTGGCTGTGTGATTTGGGGCAAGTTACTTGGGCCACTGAGACCTTTAGTGTCTGCATCTCTCTTTATCTACATACTGATTTCAGGAACACGTCTCAGGGTTATTTTAAGGATTCGTGGAATGAACGCACACTTAGGCATTTTACACACAGCCAAGCGTCAGAGCAAAACAAGGTGCCTTTACCTTAAAATATTATAAGGAATGGAGGGAGATAAGCTGGAGGTATATTTAAAGCAATTTGGGCTATAAGTGGATCAATTTTTAAGCCAGGTGATGGTTACATGAAGATTCATTATACAATTCTGTCGACTTTTGTACATATTTGAAATTTTCTATGACAAGTTTTTTTTTTAAAGAGATATATTATCATTGAGTGTAGAATTTGATCAGTAAAAACAGAAGGCTTTCTCCATAAATTATTTTGCAGAAATCAGTAGGTTAAGCCATAGGTTAGGAAGAACTTGTAGCCTTCATTTGCCTTATAAAATGAACATTAAGGAATTTAACTCAAACCTTTTAAAGCCCAAGGTAATAAAAGAGTTGAAACTGCAAAAACAAAGACCAAAACAAAAACAAAAAAAACAAGGTGCATTTAAAGATATTTATTAATGGTCACTCATTGGCTGAGCAATGGGGGCACTGCTGGGGGCGCCTTCAGTCATCTCCCCTTCCTCTTGACCAATTACCAGTTGGTTCCTGTGTACTTTTTCTTCTTCTTCCTCACTGTCAAGCCTCATTCCCTCCTCTCTGGAATGCAAACATCTATCATTCCTCCTGCTGCCATGGCTACACTCTTCCCCTCCCCGTGAGAACCCCTCCAACTGCTGAGCCTCTGCGTCGAGTCCCCTTATGGGACCTTGCACACTGCCCACCATGAAGCTGCACCTGCCATTTGGCCCCGGCCCTTGGCATGTGCGTGCCATTCTCCTGATGCATAGGCTGAAGATTTCAGTGACTTCAGTCAAGGTTACAGGGGGCACAAGTAAACATTGGATTCCATCAATCACTATGCTTCTAGCTTTCGGGGAGAGAGGTGCCTCCGTTGTGTACTTAACAGCTTGTTACTTACAAGGAAAAAATACCCTGAGCCCATCTTTGTGCAAACAGATAGCCTTCCCAATGTGACCCTGAAACACAGGGCTGACACTTTCTGCTTCCTTCACTAGATGCACAGGTCTGTGCCACCTACTCTGAAACTTCTAGAAACAGTTCTGATGACAAGGGCTACCGTGGATGAATCAGATGTCTCAGCATGGTGGACGGCGAGTGCCTTCAGGGAGAAAGCCCCCTCTCCCCTCTATGCCCAACAGAGACATTCACGGCTGGGGGCAAGTTCCCAGGTGCAACTCACTTGCCCCTTCTTGGCTTCAGACCCTGTTGTGATGACTTGTCTCAAGTTCCGGGGGGTGGGGGCGGGTGGGGAATGTGGCTGTTGCAGTTTACTGCCCTTTCCTTAGTGCCTGTGGGATACCCAGCACATAGCAGTTCAATGAATAAACGAATGAATGAATAAGTCTGTATGCATCAGGATAAACCACATTATTTACTATTATACTGTTATATTAAATATAAAAATATTAAGTAATGTTAATAGATAATATGAGTCCGTTTCTTGACGTATTTCAGAGATTATCTGTAGAAGCTTGAAAGCACATTGCCTTTACTCCTTCCCGATTCATAGAAAGGGGGGCATCTTTTGCAGGAGCCTCTTCAGAATGAGCGTGATGGTCACCCAGTCCACAGAGTGCCGCCGGGCAGTGCTGCAGGAGCTGGTCCCAACCACTAAGCAGGTGGCTCCTCTGAGGCCCCCTGCCCCGAGGCTTTGCCTCCAATCTTAACTCAACCCATGATCCGAAGCCAGAGTGCGATCCTGGCTTCCACTAACTCTTCTCCGTCGAAGGCAGTGGTTCTCAACTCTGGTTGCATATTACAATCACTGTGGAGCTTCTAAACAATTCTGATGTCCTAACCCAAGAGACTCTGCATTTATTGGCCGGAGCCAGGGGCTGGGTCTCCTGGGGAAGCACCACAGACCTTCAGCATTGGGGCATTCGGCTGCACCTCCGACCTGTCACGTGGTCTCCTACGGAGGTGGAACTGTGGAACACCCAAGATTTGTAGGTTTTGAATCTACTGAATAGTCTAAGCCGTATACAAGCTCTCTGAATCAAGAAATCCCAATTCTTTCTGATTTAGAAGGAACTTCTCTCATAAAATATTATCTGGGAACATGGCTGTGCCATTTTACTGAGGGGCAAAGTGGTAGTTAAGGTGACACAGGTTTTTTTAATGTTTACTTAACTACGTTTGGGTTATCTTTAAAATAAAGGGCATTTATAAGAATTAGAAGCTCACTTGGGTGATGACAATGATCGCTAAATCATCATTTAGTCTTGATTTTCTTACCCATTAACCTGGACTAAAAAAAAAAAAAAAAAAAGATCAGGAGAGAAGAATGCATCAGGTGAGGGTCTTTTTAGTGCTAAAATTAGGACAGGTCTCCAGAAGAACTAAAACAGTTTGGGGCTAAGATCTGAAAATGAATTTGAACACAAAGATTATTCTAAGTTGATCTGAGAAAGAAAAAAATTGGTGCTAGAAAAGGTCCCCCAGCCTCCTTCCCCGACACTCCCTGTGCAGTTTTGCCCTGATCTTCCTTGTTCCTTGTCCCTTGCCTCCTTCCTGGGTGGTACCACGTGCTGCTGGATGTGAGCGCGGTCCCCTCCTGCACACCACTCAGCTCCTCCCACACCTGGTCCCACATCTGGGGCAATTCAATGATGAAGCTGCTCAGGGTGGGCACCAGAGAGTCTTATCTTGGCTGACGATTCAAGATATTTTCATGAATGTTCATTGAAATCTTGTTTTTTTTTTTTTTTTGAGGGGGAAACACGGAAGAAGGCAGGAACCCAAAGGTAAGGATTTCAATGCAAAATTTGTCAGTCCTGTTTTCCTTTTCTCTTCAACATATTTCAAATTATTTCCTGAGACCCGAATACATTATGATTCAGAGATACACATCCCCAAACAAAATCAAAAAGCACCCTGGAGGCTGGGGCGGGGCGACCTCACTGACACCATGTGGTTTTAGCAGCTCCTGGCGGCGTCAGATGACCATGGCCATTGTGAGCCAACGCCGAGTCTCCAGATGCGTGCCTGGTACACAGGGCGCTTACTCTCAGTACCATACTGTCGCTGGGCTGAAACTGGGGGAGGACCACCTGAGAAGGACCGCCTGGGGGGGCTAGGGATGTATTCCTAGCCTTTGATGTCTGTCTCCCAAAAGCTGGAAAACACCCTCAGCATGGGGAGAATAATCCACGGAGAGGTCACTGGAGATTGCTCTCAGGGTGGACAAACAGATAAACTCCTAAGACAAGGAAACAGCAGGCAAAGGATGCTGTGAACCCCGCTCCCTCTGGCATGAATGGCTGCAATGACAGCCCAGGAAGGTATCTGATTTCTGCAGTTGCTGGCTGCGTGCGAGCCCCATGTTCACTGTGGCCATGCATTTACAATGTTGGCACACTAGGCGGGAAGGTTATTCTCAGCAGCTGTCCCTGGGGGACCGAAGCGTTTAAAAGGTAAGGTCCTGAAATTTCAATAGCATCAGGCCAGGACCACATCCCACTTCCCTGGTGATCGTCAGCACGTACAGACCTGTCTCTGCTGAGCAGAGAAGTGTGGACGGGTGTTCTTTTTTTTTTTTTTTTTTTAACATCTTTATTGGGGTATAATTGCTTTACAATGGTGTGTTAGTTTCTGCTTTATAACAAAGTGCATCAGTTATACATATACATATGTTCCCATATCTCTTCCCTCTTGCGTCTCCCTCCCACCCTCCCTATCCCACCCCTCCAGGCGGTCACAAAGCACCGAGCTGGTCTCCCTGTGCTCTGCGGCTGCTTCCCACTAGCCATCTACCTTACGTTTGGTAGTTTGTATATCGGACGGGTGCTCTTACACCAACCAGCCCTGGAGAAGCAGCAACAACAAAGGACAGAGAGAACTAGAGCAGA